GTGGTCAAAGTTCAGCACAGTATTTGCTATTTCTTCATTCTTTTTTTAAGGTAAATCCATCTAATATAAACCAGTCCCAGTCTGATATGGCTCTGGACTCTTTGTCGTGATTTGACATCAGACAACATGTGGGTGAGGTGTCTTGGATTTGCTGTGCTGGTTTGCACTACCGGAGTGCTGCACGGGGAGTTTATTTAGATTTAGTTGTGGGGAGACTTTTGAAGTCGTGGAAGACGGTGGTAAGTTGGAGGGATCTGAAAATTGGGAACATGTCCGCAAACGGAAACCTTCTGGAACAAAACAGAGCAGACTTTTTCCCATCTAACCACTTCACAAAGGCACATGTTGCTCTTTGAAAGCAGAACTTAACACAAGAGCAACTAATTCGGCCTTTTCCTGATATAATATAAAGACGGCGATATTAAAATATTCTGTAGTTACTTATATATATATATAGATATATATATCTATTTATATAGAGGGGGGTGGATTTATACAGTTAAATTCACATTTTCACCGCACAACATTTTTATTTGTGTTTTTTTTGTGAATGAAAATGATTGGGTTACAGAATTTCTTAATATTGTTCCACTTATTGTTTGGTAGAAGAGATTTTACTTTACTTTACTTTACTACAATCAAAACTCTAAACACCTTCTGCCTAAGACATCCCTAATATTTTGTCTGTTTTATTTTTCATGAGCTTCATTTGGATGAAGTTTACATGTCCTCCGGCCAAAAGTAACTGTCAACTTGTGTCTCTGCTGTGTGTCCTTCAGGGTCTCCTCTCTCCTCTGGGTCAAATAAGGGAGACACCGGACTTCTCTTTACAACACGTAACTAATCAGATTCTTTCCTCCTTTAAAACATGCATGATTTGGTCAATATCCTGGCCACACAGACCAAACTGCGAATCAAAGAGTCATTATCAATACTCATTAGGTCCTCTCTGATATATTCATATGCTATCTGTCACGTCTGGGGGAATGTCTGGTGTCTCGTCATGTCTTGATTACTTATTGTGTACACCTGGGGTTCCCCTCCGAGAACGAGAAGGGCAGTGCGTCCCTTGACCACAGTGCCCTTCTCGTTCATAGCCTTCCCTTGCCACACTAAACCTTGCCTTGCCTTTGATCCCGTTCCCTGCCTTTGTGCCTCCTGAGTTTTTGCCTC